TGGGGGGAGGAGGGGTGTGCACTGAGCTGAGACACAGCCCCTGCCCTTGGTGCTGACTCGGGCACACAGCTCAGGCTCTCAGCCTCCACTACATGGTACCATAACTGTGGGGGTCTTAGAAAACACAGGTTCCCAGCAGTACAGGATTACACATGTACACGTACACACACACACACACACACACACACACACACACACACACCAGGGATCTGATCTGATTGGTTTGGGGCAAGCCCAAGACATCCAGGGGCAGTGGCCAGTGTAAAAGCTCCCCAAGTGATTCAAATGTGCAGCCAGGGGTGAGATCCATTAGGCTAATCAATTGTTCTGGTGAACACCCCAGGGGCTGGGGCTCCAAGCCACAGCCCGGGGCACAGTCCCCCTCCCCCTCTAGCTGCCAGGAGGAAGAGGAGGCAGGCCTGGGCTGGCTGGCACAGACGGACAGACAAAGGTAAGAGTCGGAGCCTCCTTCACGCATCACCGAGACCCATACCCAATAAACTTGAATAGAAGTGTTTGTGGGAAACGTGATGGCAACTCACAGAGGGACCCAGTTACTGGGCAGCCAGGCCTTTCTGAGGAGGGGACATGTAAGTCATTTAAATCAAGCCCCAGGTGTGAAGCTGCCATGACAGGCGGAGAGAACAGCAGGTGCATGAGCTGGGGGTAAGGGAGGGGGGAGCAGGCGGCAGGCGGCTAGAGAGAACGGAGAGGAAGACACCAGGGGGTGAAGTCTGTGAGCTAGGCAGGGGCGCACAGGAGGGGTCCTGGGACTGTGGTAAGGGCCGTCCTCAGTTTGACAGGAAGCCCCCGGAAGCTTTCCAAGAAGGAATGACATGACCTGGCTGGTGTTTTTAGGAGACACTCTGGCTGTGATGGGGAGCCTGGCTTGTAGGGAGCAGGATGGACACTGATGACGGTGCCCCGGGCAGGGCGGTGGGTGCCCCGAGCTCACCCTCCAGGGAGAGGCTGAGTGCTCGGCGCCTCGGGGCAGGAATGTAGGTCAGGCAGCCTGGCTCCCTCTGCCGCCGTCGCCAGCACAGCCCCCTCGCCTGTCAGAGAGACAGCCGGCTCTGCCATGTGTGGGCTCCACTGAGAGATCCGTGTTGGCGGGGAAGGCAGAGATGATCGTCTTCCAGGTGCCAGGATGTGGGCCACTGCCTGGGGATCTCCGTGTCCCCCTTCCCAGGATGCCTCTCCCCCGGCCCCTCCTACCCCATCAGGACCCCCCTGGCAGCCCAGCTGGGGCCCAGGCAGCTGTCGCCGGGAGCAGGCAGCTGCATTTTAAGACCGGGGCTCAGACTTCTAAATAAACCATACACATGGCCAGCTTCCCTGGTTCAGAAGGAGGGAGGCAGCTTCATTTCTCTTCAGCGCGGTGGCTGAGAAATACACGAGTGGCTCTGCCTGTCACATGCACTTAACCCTCTGCAGAGGCATCTGTCAGGCCCACGGAGCGCCTGCCTCTGCCTTCCCAAGACACGGCGGCTGGGCCCCAAGCCCAGGCCTCTCCTTTGGCCGCCAAGCTCACCAACCTGTTCAAGGAAAGGTAGGCATGGGGGCTTGTCCTTGACCTCCAGAACGCAAGCGAACAGCAGGCATGAACAGGGAGCCCTGTGTGGCTGGGGCATGTTGGCACAGCTCTGTTGGCTGTGGAAGGGGAGGAGAGAGGGGGGATGAGAGGGGGCAGAGTGACCTCATTAGAAGGGGGAGACAGCCCTGGTGTCTGCTGATAGATGGCCGTGAGGGTGGGAGGGACAGGGGGAATCAGAGGGCAGAGAGGGCTTCCCGCACGCCAAGCCTCCCACAGCCACAGAGGAAGGAAGGAGGAGCAAGAACAAATGCAGACCGGAACAGAAGGGGCAGGCAGAGAAATAAAGCAGGAGAGGGAGGCAACCACAGAGCCATCAAACACAAGACTTTGGGGGGTAGGGGCCCTCCAAATGCAGCAGGAAAGGTGGCTTATGCACTGCGCCAGGGCAGATGAAGCCCAGTGAGGCCAGGGCTGGGAGAGGCTGGGACAGTGGCCTGCAGCAGAAGCCCTGACAGGTGACGGTAAAGCAAGGGGCAGGGGTGAGCCTTGGGTGGCAGGAGCCTGGCAACGAGAGGGCGGCGAAGGGCTTGCGCGAGTCGCTGGGCCCATGGAGCCTGCCTGCCCCACAGGTGCTCTGCAAAGGGAGACCTCAGCCAACACCGCCCTGAGGTGTGTGTAGTTGGGATTGAAAAGTAGGGAGAGAGGTAGCAGCACAGGATTACACATGTATTCACACACACACACACACACACACACACACACACACAGCAGCAGCAGCAGCAGCAGCAAGCATGGCATACTCTCAGCTGCACTCCCATGGGGATAAAAGAGACCCAGGGGCCGCCTGACACCAGGAAAAGCAAGCAGAGGGCAGGCACGGACACTGGGCCCCAAGCAGGTATGGGAGAGCCACAGACTTAAAGCGATAGGGCCAGCAGACCTCGGTAGGGAATGAGACAAACATACTTCAATCACAGACCTTGAAAAAAATAGAGAAGACAAGGACAACAAATACTGCCCCCGCCCCTCTCACACACACACACACATACACACACACCTCTAAAAGCACTAGACACAAAAGGAAACATGTATGGCCCTCCTCACCTTATCCTCCCCTCCCACGTGCACTTGTAGGGACGTGGGTGTGGAGCCCTCTCAGAGGCCACACACCTGCACACAGTCCCCCTCACACACCAGAGGCAGGTGGCTGGGCAGGGACAGGTTTGCTCTAAATGAAGCCAGGCTTCCCAGGAAGCCCCACACGAAGCCAGAACGATGGCCCCAGGCCCCCCGAGGATCCCCTCAGCACTCAAGCTGCACAGAGCATCGGACTAGCCACGCTACGTCTGACCAAGACCTGGGGCCCACCAGCTCTCTGCCAGGCTCACAGGATGTGCTAGTCCCTGCAAGTCTGAATCACGCAGAAGGACGGAGAAACCAAGGGGAGGAGGCTGTGGGTCCATTTCTGAGCGTGGGCCCACCTTCGAGAGCACACTAAGGAGGTCAGAGCTCAGATCTGGGCCATAATCTCCCGGAGAATGGGGGGGGGACACACAGTACTGAGGACACTGCACTGGACTCACACCCCTCAGTCTCCACTGTGTCAGCATGCACATCCTATCATTGTCCGCTGAATGCTGCACTGCATACAGCACCCTGTACACACAGCTAGCTCTCCGCCTCCCATGGGTACATGCACTGCACACATCTCCCCACCCCTCAGACGTCCCATTCTTATCGAGGCTGCACACAGACACTGAAAAGTTCTACTGTCCTCAGACCACACACACACACACACACACACACACACAGCTCTGTGCATTCCTTGAAAGCCCACACAGCACACACGCCTATGCACACACACAGTGCCCACACAGAACTCCCCAACAGAACTCGGTGACTCCTGCCCACGTGGAAGGGGCCTGTGCTCCCGCCCTGGCAAGCTCAGCTGGGCTCACCCTCAAGCTTCCTGGCCCCCTCTTCTGCCCTTCCGCTGCCTGCTCCAACACCCCCCTCTGCCAACACCCCTCCGCCCCTCAGCTTCAGGAAACTTTCATCAGGTCCCTAAAGGGGGAACCCCACAGTTCCTCTGGTTCTTGCCCTCCCCGCTCCCTCCTGAGACCCAGTGGGGAAAGATCAACGCAGGCGATCCGCTGCTTGGGCTCCGGGAGAAGGGAGGGTGGCTGTAACAGCTGTCACCAGGAGGTGGGGGAGGGCATGGGGAAGGTGTGGGCCCTGAGTGGAGCCGGGGGCGCAAAGGGGTGGCCATGACGTGCCGGTGGCGAGCGGAGAAGCTGTGGCTGCGGCGGCGGCCGCGCCTGGGACCGGGCGCGCGGAGCTGTCCGTTCAGCACCACCGCGAGGGCGCCCGCTCCGCGCCCGCTCCGCGCCCGCTCCGGCTCCCGCTGGCGCCTGCGGCTCGGCTGTTGTTGCCTTTGGGGATGAAGGGCGCTCAGATCCAGAGAGGTGGCTCTGTGAGCATCGGGGCCAGCAGCCACCTGTGAGCCTTCTGCAACTGCAGGCGGCGGTGGCCTCTCCGGCGGAGACAGGAGGAGCCGCTCGGCGGACCCCGCCCGCCTGCCCGCCGGGCGCACACACAGGCGCACACACACTCGCATCCGCGCTGCGCACACGCACAGCCCGCTCGCAGCGGCAGCCGCAGCGATGCCCGCCAGCAGGTTGGGGAAGTTTCCCGCCGCCGGCCCTAGCCACGGGCCCCGGTGCTCGCAGGTAAGCGCTTCCAGAAGGCTCAGGGCGAGCCCTGGAGCCCTGGCCGCTCTGCTGGGTGAGGCGCGGCGCGCTCGGCGCACGCGGCTAGGGGGCACCGCGCCCGGCGGGCAGGGAGGCCCGGGGCGGGGGGCGAGGGGATTCCAGTCGTGGGGGCTGGACACAGGGGATGCTAGGCCGGCCCCTTACCCCCCCAGTCCCCGTTCACAGACTCGCGCAGTGCATTCCCCAGCCTCCCTCCTGAAGCTCCGCGCCCCCATCTCGGCCCAGCCCTGCCAGTGCGCATCCCAGCTCGGGTCCCGCCTGTCTGCGGCGAGCGGGCGGGGACGTCTCCTCGGCCCGCCCACGGGCAAGGTCAGCTCGCAGCCCCCTTTGCTCGCAGAGCGGCGGGGGCGCGACTCATGCAGGCGTAAAGGGACCCACAGGACCCCCTGGATGGGGGGGCCAGGGAGGGGGGAGGGCCCAGCCATGCTAGTGGAAACATACCCCGCCTCCAGCCATTCCACGGGAGGGGGCAAAGCCACCCAGAACCACTCCTCCCATCCCATCCCAGTGCCCTTCAGCACCGAGACACCCACCTGGAGAGGACCCTGGAAACTGACGCCAGGGATGGGTGGGGAAGAAGAGAGGGGCACCCAGATTCTGAGCACCCCGAGCTCATCCGATGCGGTTCCCTCCGCTTCCAGGTGTAGCACGCGGTTCGGGTTTGGGTTCGGTGTCCGAGGCCCGGCGTCTCCAACATGACCCGCCGGAGCCTGTGGGATGTGTCGGAGGAGGCCAACGTGGAGGACGGAGACGTCCGCATCAATGTCGGGGGCTTCAAGAGGCGGCTGCGCTCGCACACGCTGCTGCGCTTCCCGGAGACGCGCCTGGGCCGCCTGCTGCTCTGCCACTCCCGGGAGGCCATCCTGGAGCTCTGCGACGACTACGACGACGCCCAGCGCGAGTTCTACTTCGACCGCAACCCCGAGCTCTTCCCCTACGTGCTGCACTTCTACCGCACCGGCCGGCTGCACGTCATGGCCGAGCTGTGCGTCTTCTCCTTCAGCCAGGAGATCGAGTACTGGGGCATCAACGAGTTCTTCATCGACGCCTGCTGCAGCTACAGCTACCACGGCCGCAAAGTGGAGCCGGCGCAGGACAAGTGGGAGGAGGAGCAGAGCGACCAGGAGAGCACCTCGTCGTCCTTCGACGAGATCCTGGCCTTCTACAACGACGCCGCCAAGTTCGAGGGGCAGCGCCTGGGCCGCGTCCGGCGGCGGCTGTGGCTGGCGCTGGACAACCCCGGCTACTCGGTGCTGAGCCGGGTCTTCAGCATCCTGTCCATCCTGGTGGTGCTGGGCTCCATCATCACCATGTGCCTCAACAGCCTGCCCGACTTCCAGATCCCCGACGGCCAGGGCGACCCGGGCGAGGACCCCCGCTTCGAGATCGTGGAGCACTTCGGCATCGCCTGGTTCACGCTGGAGCTGCTGGCCAGGTTCGCCGTGGCCCCCGATTTCCTCAAGTTCTTCAAGAACGCCCTCAACCTCATCGACCTCATGTCCATCGTCCCCTTCTACATCACGCTGGTGGTGAACCTGGTGGTGGAGAGCACGCCCACCTTGGCCAACCTGGGCCGGGTGGCCCAGGTGCTGAGGCTGATGCGGATTTTCCGCATCTTAAAGCTGGCCAGGCACTCCACCGGCCTCCGCTCACTGGGGGCCACCCTAAAATACAGCTACAAGGAAGTAGGGCTGCTTCTGCTCTACCTCTCGGTGGGGATTTCCATCTTCTCCGTGGTGGCCTACACCATCGAGAAGGAGGAGAACGAGGGCCTGGCCACCATCCCCGCCTGCTGGTGGTGGGCCACCGTCAGCATGACCACGGTGGGGTACGGGGACGTGGTTCCCGGGACCATGGCGGGGAAACTGACCGCCTCCGCCTGCATCCTGGCGGGGATCCTCGTGGTGGTCCTGCCCATCACCCTGATCTTCAACAAGTTCTCCCACTTCTACCGGCGCCAGAAGCAGCTGGAGAGTGCGATGCGCAGCTGTGACTTTGGCGACGGGATGAAGGAGGTTCCGTCCGTCAACTTGAGGGACTACTACGCCCATAAGGTTAAGTCCCTCATGGCGAGCCTGACAAACATGAGCAGGAGCTCGCCGAGCGAATTAAGTTTAAATGATTCCCTACAGTAGCGAGGGAGGAGGACGTGTCCTCAAACCCACAATGTTGAGCTGTCCCTCGTGCCTCTGACACAGTCCAGGCACCTTAGGGTGATGGCAGAAGGAGGTGGCCAGCCCCGAAGGGGAGAGATGCATGGGCTACGCAGCCAGGTTGCTTCCACAGTAGTTAAGAGTCCTTTCCAGAGGGCGGTGTGTCTGGCACCATGCCTTCGCGCCTTTTGAAGAAATGACACCTCATGGGTGTTTTGCATCACGGGCAATAGAACGTTTTTGCCTTTCTGCTGGATGAATACCCCCCAAAAGAATGCTAACTTTTCTGTTCTCCGTGTTCTCTAGTGCTCGTGGCCCCCAGTACTGTCTGTGAGGTTTCTGTGCTCTTTTTCTAAGGTTGTCATTGTGAGATCTGTACACAAAGCCCCTTACCTGTCTGTCCAGTGGAAAACACGTCTGTGGGGTCAGCAAGGATATGCTGGGATTTTGCTCACGTCACGTGAGAACAGAATCTCAGTGTTTGTTTTTTGTTTTGTTTTTTTGTTTGTTTTTTAATTCATGGCCTTCATTTGTTTTAATACCAAAACAAGAGAATGTGAAGTTAAGCACACGCCCAACACAAGTCTGTGAGTTGGGTTAGGAATGATCGTAGCTCTGTGATTTGCATGGGTACCTGGTCACCTTTAGAACACTGTGTGTTGACGTTTATCTAGTAAATGTTGCTCTGTTAACCATGTAGCGAAGATAGAAATTTTTCCCCTAGAACAGCTGCTTTAGGAACAGGGGCTTCCATTAAACAGGCCAATCAGACTTTTCAAAGGTGGGCCTCTGTCTTTCCTGGGGTGACCGTGCAGGCATCTGTTTCTGGCTGAGGTTCCCGGTCTTGCCCATTTGACCAAACTTTGCTGTGTCTTAGGGATTAGCATGTTTTTGAAATGTTTATTCTTTAAAAATGTTTAAAAATAAGGTCGTATTGTCTTTTTCAACTAAAAAGAGGTTTACTGCTGTGTTTTTTCCCTGAGGAACACTGTTGGGTTGCCGGCAAGGCCAGTAGTTTAGAAATCTTGTTGCCTGTTCTGCAAGCTTGTAAAATGAGAGCCCTTTTATTTCCAAGCAGAAGTTCCTCAGGTAGTTTTGCGTCTAGGATAGAGTATGCTACCTGCAATGCTGTGATTCCCTTGGTGTGACTTGGGGGATCTGGTGGTGTGGAAGTGTGCACTCAAAATACAGACATGCATGAAAGCTGTGTTGCTTACCCAGGATGGAAACACCACAATTCCCATTTCCATTTCAACTGCCATTTGTTGGAGGAGGGTGCGTAGAGGACAGAAAAAAGGAAAGAGCTGTAAAACAAAATATTGCTACTCTCATAAACAATTGTAAACTTCTAGAAAAGCGCAACGCTATTTAAAAGGCCTTTAAACTACTAAATTTGTGTTGAAGGTTGAGAGCTCTTTTCTTCTCCAAAATGCCTCCCCTCCCCTCCTCCTCCTCCTTTTCCTCCTCCTCCTTATTGGCACATAACATTGTGAAGGGGAACCTGGGCCCCTTTGTAAGATAGTTCTCCATTATCTTCTAGGTAACCAGATAGCTTTACAGTTGGCTTTCATTATGGTTCGGTCTCTGGAAAGGTTGCAAAATCCAGGAGCCTAAGCATGGAGCTAGGAAGGTGTTTTATCCACAGCTTGGGCCTTCCCTAAACAGGTCCATTTTGTGTCTTAGTTGAAAGTAATGAATACCTCATGGGAGTGTGGTGAGGATCTTGTCAGAAGACTTTGTGTACTTGTAGTTGCCATGGATACCACAGCCCAGGTAATTTGCTGGATGAACGCACTAGTTACATGTGCCCTAGAGTTCCCAGTTCAAATCCTTCCACCAGACGAGCCTGGTGGAGGGTAGGGAGATGACCTGTCCTGGTGCCTGATGGTCTACCATCTCCATCTGTTTCTCAGAAGCAGGAAAGGGTGAGATGACTTAGGGGCAAACGGGCTACCCCGTTCGAAGAGCAGGGTTATTTTTCAGAATCGACACACGAAGTATTATACTTGGTTTTGGCTGGTGTTTTGGCACTAGAAGGCAGAGAATTTGCAACATCAGCCTTAGCTACACTGAAGGAAACGATGCCACAAACTTGTGAGGACTCTTCCGTTTGCCCAAACACGTGGTGTCAGGTCACTGAGCGTGGCCACTAGGTCGCTGACCATAGAGTTTGTGAAAAGTGGGGGCAGGGGAGCTCAGTCACTCTCGTGAGTATTTTTCCAAACAGGCGGGTTTTACCACCAAAAAAGGAGACAGCCGTCGTGGTCACTCTTAGCAGATGTGAACGCTGGAATACTTGACTTTTCATTTCGGTAATGACTTGCATTTATCTGGTGCCTTTCACTAGGGGAATCCCAAAGTGCTTTAGAGACTGTCTTTTCACCTCTTGTACATAAACATACTTGTAGGAAATTTACTTTGCCCTTCCTGGAAACTTCAGTCACTTCTGAGCTGGAGGAGACTGTCCTAATCGCATTGAGTTCTCCAGGTGATGGTTTCAGATAAGAGGGAGAGGGAACAGCTCAGCTGGCTTGGACACGAGTCGATTCCCACTAAGGAAGGAGACGGAACAGTGACCCTGGAGTGAGTAACCTTCCTCTCGCCTACGGTCCCACCACAGTGTGAAGTTCCCAGGTGCTCCCAACTGGACTTTAATGGGTCTTGCTAGATAACATCTTACATTCTGGTCCCTGGAGCTGATCTGGGAGGGTCAGCGTGACTCTCTGCTCTGTTCCTGGAGTTAAGGATATACCTATGAAATGACGTCATTGGCCACCAGGCTGTCAGACTGACCCACACATCTCCTTCGGGGTCACAGCAGAAGCTTCCGACCACTTATCCCAGCTGCTGGCTTGACAGCAGCTTCCCTCCCGACATCTGGAGGTTGTTCTTCTCAATGCTGTTGGGGCGAATGTACGCGCCGGGCTTTTCTCACAAAGGATGGGATGAGCATTTGGAAAGCGCCGTTTGGGAAGTGATACTGTGTCTTTGTTGTATAGACACGTATTCCTTATAGGTTTGTGTTTCTGCCAACCTCTCACATTTCCTGGGTTTGCTACCGAGGAGGGGCATGTTGTAATGCCAAGCCGATTTGTAGCTCCCGGGTAGTAATTGGTGTTTAATATTTGGATTTGTTATTTCTACTTATCTTTGTTTCCCAAATCATTGAATGACCTGCTAATTCTTGCCTCATTTCAGAGAAAACGATCTGTTCTGCACTTGGGATAGCAGTGATCTGTACAGGCTGTGTGTTATATCTCCGTGAAGGCTAACTGGTATTTCTTGTGTGTGTTAACAGCATGACTTGTCACAGAATTGTCATTTAAAAACTGAGAGCACTGCCTTTGCCATGTCGGTGTGAACGCTCATTAACGTATCGCCGTGCGCACCCTGACGCTGCCGCCGCTCAGTCTATCTGATGACTCACTTTAGGCCCCGTGCCTCGACCCCGTGAGGAGGGACACACACTCAGGACTCCACCTCTGAGCATGCAGATTAAATAGAAAAAGTGATGTATGCTTCCTTAAGCACTTCACTGACACATGGGATGGCAAACACAAGGTCGTCCAACGCAGGGGCCTGGCTCCCTAAGAAAGCCTGGGCCTTGTGAGCACAGGGTTGGGCCCCCATTTTTGCCAGGATCTAGAGCCACCATCCCGCTTTGTAGAAGGAACAGTCACTTATTCTTAGAGCCGTGCTCAGCACCAGAGAGGGGCCTGCCAGGGACAGCCCTGCCCACCTGGGTGCCATTCCCCCTGCTGGCCTGGTAACCTTCCTGACAGTAATGTGGGTACTGGGCAACCTCAGTGTCCTGGCTGGTTGGTGTGGGTAATGTTGGGGGACACTCAGAACCAGCCCTCAGCACCTACTTAACCCACTAGCGACTTGGGCTCTGAGCCATTCCAAAGGCCACAGTGAATCAGTGAAAAGGTCGCTGGCTCACTGGCTCTGCTCCGACGCAGGCCTTCAATTCTGTAACCTTAGGGTATCACTTGGCCTCTCCAAGCCTTATATGCCATTGCTGCCAAGTAAGAAGCTCGGATGAGCTCATCCTTAAAGGGACTTAAGTCCCTCCAGGTCATATCTCTGTGTAAAACAGAGTTTCTGCATGCCTCTACATCCTCATTACAGCAGCACACAGATCCGCAATCCACAGTGTGTCTGTAAGCAGAGCAGAGGCTCACACACAGCCTGAGGCTTCCATTTCTCTCTTCAATAGCCAACCACACAGACACCAGTTTCAGGGACAACGACACCAGAGAAAGGCCAGTGTCTGGTGACAAGCTGATGCTCTTAGAAAATAGCCGTAAACCCACAAAGACAGGGTCAAGGGGAAAGAGGTACAACAAGGAGGAAAGAGGGCAGCTGTGCCCAGAGCTGGTGCGAGTTCCTCCAGAAGTTAAAGAGAGAAGGAAGAAGCCAGGAAAAAGAAAAGAGGAAAGAGAAAAGAGGGCGCAGAAGGAAAGCATGAATAAAAGAAAAGGCAGAGAGCAATGAAGGGAGATGAGACAATAACGTCGGGAGAATCAGAGAGAGTATGCTTAGCCAAGTTATTTTAGGCCTTTTGTTGGATTCATTTTCTTTTCAGTAACACCCACCAGAGGCCTCCTGAGAGGTAGCTACTGCTACAGTCAACTTCCACCCTCTCTACCTGCCGCCTCAACTCCCTCCCCAGAGAAGGACGCACAGTCTGGTAGAACAGGCGTATGGGCACCACTAACAGCCTTTTGGAGGAAGAGGGCAGAGAAAGACACACGAAAAGGAAGGGAAAAATTCTCCCTCAAGAAGATGAGACTTCTGGGTTATACACAGAGGACCAGGTGTTGGCCGGGAGGGGGAAGGGGAGGTGTTACTTAGGGCTTGGAACAGAGAGATGGCGGGAAGAGAAAGGGAAGACTCCTTCACAAACAGGGACCTACACAGGCCAAAGCCAGGAGGCCCAGGCCGGCCCGCATGTGTGAGACACCTGTAAGGCAGTGAGG